AAAAAATACATTTAGAACATTTTTATTCCCGATAAAAAGTTTCGACTTTTATCAAAGGAAATTTGATTATGCTTTTGTAAATTAATACACATGTTGACACCTTAAGAAAATACAACATTCACCCCTGACCCTTTAGTAAAAGTAAATTTAACCTAAAGTCTGACCGCGTCAACCTTGTTGCACCGGCTACTCCTATTGAGTGTCTGCTTTATTTACCCAATGTCCGGACGATACAGTACAAACTGGGACAGGAAAGGTTGACCCGGCTCGGAAATTCAAATGTACTACGGCTGCCCGTGACAAGGCAGCTTCAAATTCATATTCCAGGCGCGGCGGTACTATTTGAATTCTTCCGCGGCCTCCTATATATCAGTTTAATTGTTTACAAATGTCTGACATCTATATGGGTTGACTATATAGTCCCTTACATCCAGACATCAAGTTAATACAGGGGCTTAATATTATCTCTAGGCTGGCTGGGATAAGAGGGGATAATTCTAAATCCCGCGGGATAAAACACAAAAACTATAGATTTGTATATACACGTGTCTTCAAATAGTCCTTGAGAAAACAATGATGGAACTCTTAATATATTTTAAAGCGGTCTAACTTTTACACTTTGTTCTAATAAATGATGTGATGATTTTCTAGATTTAAAGTATTAAATTCTTAACAATTTCCGCCGTAGTTTTTGAAACAGATATTCGCCAGTTACTCTATAGAACGACGTCAATTAAAAATAAACAATTTTTGAATAAAAGATAAAAAAATTTATCATGCTCTCTTGAAGGGTACCTTTGTCAATCGAACATGATATTCTAAAAATAATAAGGGTCCAGAGAAATTACAATTGCAACAAATTCTGAAGGACAATTTCCGGAAATTTTGGGGAAAAGTTGGGTCACACAAAAATTTAAGGCTTTTCAGGAAATTAAAGTTTAGATGAAACGATAATGATAACGATAACAATAACAATAACGATTATTATAACGATAACAATAACAATAACGATTATGATAACGATAACGATAACGATAACGATAACGATAACGATAACGATAACGATAACGATAACGATAACGATAACGATAACGATAACGATAATGATAATGATAATGATAAAGATAACGATAACGATAATGGTAAAGATAACGATAATGATAACGAAAAGATAACGATAACGATAGCGATAACGATAACGATAAAGATAACGACAACGATAATGATAACGATAATGATAACAATAAAGATAACGATAACGATAACGATAACGAACGATAACAATAACGATAACGATAACAATACCGATAACGATAACAATACCGATAACGATAACAATAACGATAACGATAACAATAACAATACCGATAACGAAAACAATAACGATACCGATGACGACGAAATTTCAGAGAAAATCTCTGTCATCATTAATCACTTATGCATTTATGCTCTGAACTGCTAATTAATATGAAAATGATTAATCGTTAAATTTGAAAATATAATTTGTGATTTTTACCAACTACTCGTGAATTCTAAAATTCAAGAAACTAAAACCGTGATAATAAAAAATGGCAAAATTAAATCGGTTCATTTTGATTCTCAGAAACATTCTTGGTAAACTTAAGACTGTTCTTATTACAAAATTTGGTATCTTTACTGAACCGTATTGACGTTGCAACATTCACCATTGTACCCTAGGAACGTATTTTTGACTAATAACGTGAAAGATATTCTAATTTTTTTTTGTTTAAAAGTGTTCAATTTTGATAGTTTCTATATGATTTCTTGCAGTAAAAATGCGTAAATCTCTTTTGTAGAGAAATCACAAATGAAAATAACCAGTTTTAAAATTATAAACAGTGATTAAACAGTGATTACTCGATCAGATATAGCTGTTACGGGTACCGTTGTAAATCAGGTTTTGCCATCTTTGCATGGAGGGTCACTTAAAATTACGCTTATAGTCCCTTTAAGATACCAAATTTTCAAATAAGTAAACAAACCCTTTAAATCTTTAAAAAATCCCTCTAATAGTGTTTTGACTGACATAAATGCAAATTGCAAAGGAATCCAAAATTTATTTGATATTTCTCAATGTGAGTAGGACTAAGGAGTGAGAGGGTTCATTTATTGCGAGTTTTGTCACATGGTCGCATTTTCACTATTATATAAGAATTGTATAGAAGCAAATTATTTTTTATTTACTAAAAATTAGTGAAATAAACCCTAACCTTAATTCTACTCATATTGGTGAAATAAACCCAAACCTTACTTTTACTCATATTGATATTTCCAATCTTTCTTCAATAAATACGCAATAGAGCACACACTAACACAACTAGACACATATTCAAATCTCTCAAGCAAAATATTAGAAGAAACCTAGAGAATAAATAATATAAGGAAAGGGATATAATATAAAAAAGTAGAAAGAAAGAAACTTTTATTTTTATGTATTTATCATTTATTGCGAGTTTTGTCACATGGTCGCATTTTCACTATTATATAAAAATTGTATAGAAGCAGAATAATAGTATTTTGAATAAATTAAATTGAGTAAAGATTGTAAATGTTTCATAAGTCTTATTTTATGTCATACATGGAATATAGATTTATACTTTGTAGATATAGATATATACTTTCTCTTACGTTTAAGATTTGATCGGGAGCCTTTTCAAAGATAAATTCGGATTTAAGAATGGATTTAAATTTTATTTGAGCATTACATAATTCTATTAATCAAGCAGAGTTTCGGAAAGGAATTGAGTCTTTGCCACAAACTCTGATGTTCTAATCCCTATATTTTTGCAATCAAATGTCGTATACTGTAGATATTTCAAACTATGAATTTTGCTATATCAAATGATCAAAGTTTAAAATATCAAAGATTGACACCACCATGTTGCAAAGTAATTGGGATAAGAATACTAGATAAAATTCCTTTGCGGGGAAAAAAAATGTTTTTGGTAAATTTTTGGAGATATATCACTACTTGGGTGAACACTTGTGCTAATTAAGCGGTCCGAAAACGTCGCAATTCTAATTTGCAAAGGTTTTCTTAACTTGTTAGACCCAGGAGAGATATGAATTCAGTTAATTTCAGCTTCATGTCATGCTAATTAAACCTCAGGATTCTAGCAATAATGGTATTGTTTTAATTAAATTAATATAATGTAACACTACATCTGTAAACCTGAACTTAGTTATACATTATTAATTAGCTACGTAAAACCCATGATTTATCTTAACTGCGCTGTAAATAACTACGTAGTACGTACTATGATTAGCTCAAATATGTTGTATATAACGACGTAAAACTTGTAATTACATTGATTAACTTTAACTTGTAACATATCACCTCAAATACATTTAGTTGGAATTAGACTCCCCTTTGAGAGAGTAACTATTTCTTGGTTAGCGAACAAGAAGCGTCCTGAATCACTTTCTTGAACTATAGAACTTATAGATTGGGAATTGATACAGATAAAGTCTTGTGCAGATTGACATTGATAGCAAAGTATTACTGAACTGAATAGCTCTTATGCTTCATCAACCATATCGAGAGGGAGCAAGCATTGATACAGATAAAGTTTTGTCCGAATTGACATTGATAGCAAAGTATTACTGAACTGAATTGTTCTTATGCCTCGTCAACCATATCGAGAGGGAACAAGCATTGATACAGATAAAGTTTTGTCCGAATTCACATTGATGACAAAGTATTACTAGACTGAATAGCTCTTATGTTTCGTCAACCATATCGAGAGGGAACGAGCAACGATACAGATAAAGTTTTGTCCGAATTGACATTGATAGCAAAGTATTACTGAACTGAATAGCTGTTATGCTTTGTCAACCATATCGAGAGGGAACGAGCATTGATATAGATAAAGTAGTGTCTGAATTGACAGTGATAACAAAGTATTACTGAACTGAATTGTTCTTATGCCTCGTCAACCATATCGAGAGGGAATGAGTATCGATACAGATAAAGTCGTTTCCGGATTGATAGTATTGATAGTAAAGTATTCCTGGAACGGTGAGTTCCTGATTGAGTTGTACTTGGATTGATACAGGTCTGAGAAAATTTCATGGAGTAGGGCATTTACTACATGTTGTTCAGGGATATTGAAGGGAACAGTTCAGGGATATTGAAGGGAACAGTTCAGGGATATTGAAGGGAACAGTTCAGGGATATTGAAGGGAACAGTTCAGGGATATTGAAGGGAAAAGTTCAGGGATATAGAAGGGAACAGTTCAGGGATATTGAAGGGAACAGTTCAGGGATATTGTATATGGAATAATTTCACTATACAGAGTTTTCAAGAAAATTAAATAGTCTCTTAAAAAATACTTGAAGTCAAAGTCAAAATGGTTCTATGTTTTAAGAATGTAGCTAGCAAGCAAAATGTAATAAGTACCTTTCATAATATTAATGAAAAAACAAAATATGCACAAATTTAAAATTCTTTACTTAAATACTTGGTGACTTGCTACAAAAATGCACAAAGATTTTAAATCAAAAACAAGCAAGAAAATGGCAGATATTATCTCATTAAGACAAAAAGACTAAATCTGCTTTAAAGCTTCATAAAAAAACAAACAATTTAATTTGAGAAAACATTGTGAATCAGTATCAAGGAGTATGGAATAGAAGGGAGATACAACTGACGCGGCCCGCCCTACCATATAATTATACATATTTTGCAGACAGTACTCCATTTGTAAAAGAATAGTTTATTGTATACGCGGTAATTGTACATCAGACAAATATTTCTTATTCAAATAAAGTACTGTCTGCAAAGCATGTATAATCATATGGTAGGGCGAACCGCGTCACTTGTATCTCCTACTCCTTGATCAGTACTGATATCTTCATGCAGCACATCGTGTACTGCATGATGTAAACAAGTGCTGAACTTCCTAATAAGAGAATTTTTAAATTAATCATTTGTTTTGGCTGGTGGAAATTCAGTGTACTGCAAAAGCTACAGGATTACCTTTGCGTTGGATTTTCACTGGTTAGAATACGTATCCGCTGAGCATTACTATTTAGATAAAAGTATTTAGTCTCAGGTGGCGTTTCCAGGTTGAGACACGCCCTCCCCTCCTCCTCCTCCTCCACTGCGGAAAAATCACTCACTTCATCAGAAGTCATTTGAACAGGGAAAATATCCTCATCACTTAACTTTATCCTTGTCACTTCACTCCGAGATTGTGATTGAGCCACAACCCGTTCTCCACTCCCCGGGATCACACCGTAAACTGAAAAATTAAGCTTTAAAACAAACCATATTCCGATTCAGAGGAGTATTCAGGGGGGCTATGTCGGCTAAGCCACCCCCCCTGGATCGGTGAAATCTATCTGGTTTGTGGCCCAAGCTTCACCTTTAATCTTTATGGACAATAAACACACAAAATTAATAGCTATAGCTTAAAATTTCGGAAACTATCAAAGAAATTGAGTCTTTGCCACAAACTCTGATGTTCTAAAACCTATATCTTTGCAACCTATGAATTCTTTGAGATCAAATAATCAAAAGATGAAATATCAATGGTGTAAACCATCAGGTTAAAAAGATATTGAGGTTTAAATATTTGATTTTGTTCCAAAGACTCAATTCCTTTTTGAAGAAAATTTTAGAAGTTGTGGACTGATCAAATTTTTTTAAATGATTGATTCTAAACGTTTCTAAAAAACCGGAATTTTGTTTAGCTAAAAACTTTATTTTTTGAAAATTTGAATAAAAATAGACACATTTTTACAAATCAAACGTTCATTTTTGAAAATTGCTTTTACTTTTTTTCTTTCAAAAAAGTTCTCAGTGTACTTTTTAAACTGAAAATAAAAATAGATCGAGTTTATTTGCTCTGGGCGATTCAACCCAACCTACTTCTACTTATAACTTTGCATAATATATATATATATGTATATATATATAATATATTTCCGGTTTTGCGCAAATTGC